TCTTAGAAGAAACCTGAGCAATAAATATTAAGATGAAAATGTTTGTTGCTAAATGAAGTAAGTCAGACAGATTTCAGTCTTAGGTAAGATATAATACAGAAAGCAACAAACGAACAAGAAAACAAATAAACAAAAACTCATAGACATGAACAACAGCAAGTTGGTTACCGGAGGTGGGGAGAGGATGAAGAGAGTAAATGGGGCCAAATATATGGTGACAGAAGGAGACTAGATTTTGCTGGTGAAAACACAATACAATATACAGAAGATGTAGTATAGAATTGTACATTTGAGTTCCGGCCAAGATGGCACAGTAGATAAATACTGTGCTGCCTCTTCTCACAACCACATCAAAATTACAACTAAACTACAGAACACCTATCATTGAAAATAACCTCAAGTGTAGCTGAACAGAAGTGCTATAAATAAGGACATACAGAAGAAGCCACTTCAAGACTGCTAGGAGGGGCAGAACATGAAACAGGTTGGTCCCACACCCGCATAAGGCAGTTAAAAATCAGAGGGGTATCTTGACTGCAGTGGTCCTCCCAGAGGAGTGAAGGATCCTGGCCCCATACTGGGCTCTTCAACCCAGGGTTCTGGTGCCGGGTAGAGAAGTCTCCACAGCCTCTGGCTATGAAAACCAGGGGAGATTGTGACTGAATGAGACGGAGAGTCAGCAATATCATAATAACTATGTATAGTATCAGATGAGTATTAGACTTATCAGGGTAACATATGCAAATGTCTAATTACTATGCTAAACACTTGAAACTAATATAATATTGTATGCTGACTGTAATTTTAAAAATTAAACATTTTTTAAAAATCTACCAGTGCAGAACCTCTTTTTGGGAAGCTTTCTAGCAAAAAGTACAGCACCTTCCTGGAAGACTGTTTTTTCCCAGCACCACAGAGGGTGGCTTTCTATTGTACCACCCCCATGGGCAGCTTCTCAGTGAGTTAAGTTCCACCAGCATGGCACCCCAGCAAACTTCTTGCCATCTGATGACAGCTGTTCCTTCTTCACAAGATCTGGATCTTAGCACTGGTTTAGGGATAGGGGAAGGATGTGGGTACTCAGATTGTTCCTCCTTTGAGTGCTCGGCTTTGATCCTAGAGGTAGAGGCTGCTCCCTGTACCTTCTTTCCTTGTATCCTTTAGAGTTGTTTTTACCTAGGTGATTGATATTCTTCTGTTATAATAATTCTCTAGTTAAACTTTCCCTATTCAGAAAAAAAAAAAGAACTGCACACCCAAAACCTATAATTGTATTAAATTTGTTGAGATAACATTGGTTAATAACATTAAAAAGAGTAAGGCATGTTTAATATCAAACTGAAAAAAAAGCATGTTTTTGTTTTGAAAGGTTACCTCATTTTAAATAGTGTCTACTTCCTGTAACTCTTCCTCTCCCTAAATCTAACACACACACACACACCAAAAATAGTCCCTCCCACCTCTCATGTACATTTTTCAGGTATAATCTTTTTTTCCTATTTTATGAATTCTTGCTGCTGTTATGATTCATTTGTGTATTTTTAGTAAAAAAGAAACAACTTTTCCCCTTTGAACCCCAAATCACTCTCTTTCCCACTTGCCACCCTCTGACCTCCATGTATGCTGAACTCACCACATTCAAAGATTCTTGCCTCAAAGGAGAAGAGATTTTCTTCTGACAAATTTAGCTTGAAGAAATCTTTGATTTTATAATTGTATGATACTTAAACTCATTCAATTAATATTTGGGAAACCTACTGTGTCAAAAATACCAAGCCAGATTGACTCACTAAAATCATAGTAAGTAAAATATATTGTCATTTTTTTTAATTTATATATTTTTTACGACTACAGCACCCGGTATTCCTAGATGGTCTCTCATCCAAGTACTAACCAGGCCCAACCCTGCTCAGCTTCCGAGATCAGGTGGGATCAGGCATATTCAGGGTGGCATGGCCATAGATATTACCATTATTTAATGTTAACACCAAAATTATATGCCTTCTTCCCCCTTCACAACCCAAACCCCAGAATCTGAAAATAATGCATTTTGAATAAATGAATTGTTTGTTTTATCTGTACGAATCAAGCATTAAGTCTTATTTTACAGATGAGAAAATGGAGATTCAAAACAACCAAGTGCTTTGCACAAGTTTCACAACTGTGACTGTGCAGGAATTTACATTCAGGTCTCTTTCCACCAGTTAGAACCACATTGAGAAATAATTCCAAAGACAAGAACAAAAAAGCTACTCTGAGGAAAAGTTATCTGGCAAAAAGAGGAATAAAAATCCTCATGACAAAAAAAAATAATAATAAATGACCCCGAAATGGCTACTAGTATAGATTATTGTTTGCTAAAAAAAAAAAATACATTAACTGGTAAAATAATTAAAATATGGTTAAAAGCTCTCTGACTCCTTCCAGTGAGAAATTCTGTATAGCAAGTTTTCTGGAGAGCTGATTCTTAAAGTTTTATAAGTTCTTACATTTTTAATTTTTATTGAAAATTCCCTCGGGAATGTGTTAAACACATCCCTTTCTTTACTTAGACCATTAAACATCCTTTAAAGTTTGAGCCTGTCAAGGCATCAATGTGAATGTCAGTTGTTGGCTGTGGGTGACACAGAAATGCCTAGGGCTGAGGTGACAGCAGAGCTCCTGGCCCCCACATTGTACAACTTCATCTGGCTATCGTGTACTTTGTCCTTATTTTTAGGATTGCTTTGCTTCCTTGGTGTCCATCATCATCTCTAGTTTTGTTTCTTCTCTATCTATTCTATTTTCAAATTCTACTATTCATAGAATTCATAGAATTGCTAACAACAAAGCTACCATTTCGAGGACCTGCTATATGCTAGGTACTGTGCTTGTCATAATCTATTTCATCTTTTAAATCCTTACTCAACTTTATGAATTCGGTATTATATCCATTTTATGGGTGAGGAAACTGGGGCACAAAGAGTTTGTCCAAGTTTTCATACCAAGTAGATGGAGGAGGCAAGATTTTTAGTGGACTCCCGTCCCAGCTCTGAGCTAACCTGCCATCTCTGTCCTTCTCCATAGGTGCTGAGAGCAGTTGCCTGCTTGTTAGAATTGCTATGAGGCAGAAGAAAGAGACACTGACCGAGTAGGTGTAAAGGGGTCCCTGATCACCAGCATTTGTGCACATTCGAGCTTGTTATTTTGGACACCAAGTTTGCCAGCTATGTTTATTTCCTGGGTCAAAGGAGAAAATAAAAAGACAACTTTTGTAAAATGTAAAAGTTTCTAAAAATGATGTTCTTGTTTGCTTGACGGGGAAAGGGTTAATAGTAATAAGACTCAAGGTTTAATCCATTTAGAAGCAAGCAAATAGAGTACAGCTCATTGTTTGGCTCATGACCCCTGCCCTCCCTAGGCAGGTGTCCCCTCTCCACTACAGGCCTGGGCATGTACAGAGAAGCCCAGGACAGGGTGGGCGAGGAAACAGGTCTTCAGAATACCCAATACCAGGTTTTGACAATTTTATTGGAAAACAAGTACAGTCCATTGATCAATGATACATGCTGTACACGAATTGCTGTTTCACTATATAAAAATATCTGGTATCTGCTGCAGAATTATACAAATGGGAGGGAAAAAAGCCATCATGAACCAGTACAAATATAGTTTATCAAAAATGTCATTTCTTTTTTTTTTTTATTGCAAATAAAATAAAGAGAGTCAGGAGAATGAAAATATAAATTCTGTTAAACCAGTTCTAACAACTGGAAATGAAACACTTCGGTGCATATGCAACATTTTCTTAAACACTCAGGCTGACAAGAAAAAATAATTACCATCATAAAATGCAGTAAAATCTAATTAATGGGGAAGTCCTAAAAGGAAGAGCTTAAAAGAGGTTTAGGGGCAGCGGTGGTGACAATAAAACAAAGGAAGTTCCCAGGAATCTAGGAGTGTAGCTCCTTCCCCTGGGGATGGAAGTGACACTGTGATATCACACTTTCCTACTGGGGCCTCTCCTCAACCAGGCCTATCCTTGATTCTTGTCCCTCCTGGAATTCCAGATGCAATGCCATTGATTGTTCCCTAACCCACCCCCTTACTTCATGGCCAATTTTGCCCCTAACTCTGTTTCAAAATTGGCTTTCTTGGCACTGCATATGCAAATATATTTTACAGATGACAGACTGAAAATGTTCAGCAACATTTAAAGCATCTGATTGGCCTTCTGAGGACATGACAGCCCCCTACCCCCAGAGACTTCTGGCTGCAGTCTGTGTGTGCTGCCAGATGAAAATAAGGCACTTTCTTTTTAAAACAGCAGTTCTAAAACAGCCCTGACACTCAAAAGCTGGCAGATCAAATCCAAGAGGAAACGAGTGGAAAGGGAAGAGTCCAGGCATTAAATTCTGTTTCTGTCCCGTTCTGACTACTTTGGGGGAAAAAAAAAGTGCAAATAAAAGTTGGTGTTCACTCATAATATTAAATATTAAAAATACAAAAAACAGAAGGCCTGCCCATGTTCCCACAACTTTTAAAACTGCATGTACTGTTCAGTAAATGGCACAAACACAGCTTTGCTGTTTTCCAGTTTTTCTCCAATTATACTGAAGAGTACTATCGAGTTTTTCAAAATATTTTCCAATACCAAAAAAATGCAATTTGCTCTCATTTTTTTAATTTACTAGGAAACATTCACCTTTAGGGCAATATATGAAAGCAGAGAATTTTTCATAAAATCTAGACATAATTTTTAAAATTTCGACAGCGAAAAGTCTGGAATTTGATTGGCATTCAGTATTATTTTATATTAGTGTATAGCATAGTGGTGAGACATTTATATAATTTACGAAGTCTAGGACCTATTAATCTAGGACCCATGTGGCACTATTCATAGTTATTACAATACATATTATTGACTATATTCCCTATGCTATACTTTACATCCCAATGACTTTCATAACTACCAATTTGTATTTCTTAATCCCTTCACCTTTTTCACCTACCACCCACCCCACCCCACCCCTATCTGACAGAAAAATCAAAAAAGGCGAGAAAAAGGTAAAAGGGAATAAGAGATTCCAGGTATAAAACAAACAAGTCATGGGGATGTGGTGTACAGCATAGGGAATACGGTCAATAACACCGTGACAGTTGTACGGTGTCAGATGGTTGCTGGACAAATCATGTGATCACTTACTTCTTTAGGTATATAAATGTCAAATAACTATGGTATACACTTGAAACTAATATAACATGATGTGTTAGCTATTTTTAATAAAAATCTTTTAAAAAATAAAAGTTTGCAATTCAGTTTCTAAATAGAAGCATTCCCAGACTCATCCACCATCCTAGAAAACTATCATTTCTTCTCACAAAAGTGCCAGGGTAGGAATGAAAGGGACATTCATGGACTGAGATCAAACCTCCAGAACGCTGTCCTAGAGGCCAGCATGAGAAGTGCAAGCCCCAGTGTCCGTAGTGCTGAGTTGTAATCATTTTACAGCAGGTCGCTTACTCTCTATTAAATCAGGACGATTGCAAACATTAAATAAAGTAATCTGTGAACATTTTAAATAATAAAGAACCACACAATCTATGTCATATGTGCAAACTACTTGTGAAGGCACTAAGGACAACAAAGGGAGACACAAACCATAGCCTCTCCTGCAGGTGGAGACAGAACAAGGCTGTCATGCAGTGACGGCCAACAGTCAGTCCTATGGTACTGAGAGGAGACAGCCAGCGTCCCTCGGGTGTCTTTGGGGAAAACGCGGTTGGAGTAAATTTTGAATTTCAGTAAAATTCTGGTGCTGGAGAAAATTTGAGAAGGCATTCTGGTCAGCAGAAACAGGAAGAAGAAGCAGAGATGGAGGAGCCTTGAGGGCAAGTTCTTTGATTCACAAGGCTGATCTGGAAATTCGCACTGCAGGACAGAGCGGGGACGGCTGTGTGGATGGGTTGGGGGTTTGACAATGGCAGTGAAATGCTAGTGGGAGAACTTGAGCTTTACCTCCTTAAGCAGGAGAGTCCCTCAGAGGTGCTTTGGCAAGAGGTGATGAGATGGTTGTAGCGTTTTGTGGAGGATGATTAATCTGTGGGCTGTGTGCGTGACAGAGCTGAAGGAGGAAGTGACTTGGATGTTGTCCTTCCAAAGAAGTAATGAGTCAAGTGGAATGCAGAAGAATAAGGTGAAATAGGATGGTCCTTCTGGTGGGGACCAGATAAGAGCGGCTTGAGCCTCTTCCCCGCTTTCTCTTAAAATTCTCTCTCCAGCAGAAAGTGAAGGTTATTTCAACTCCTGGAGAATCCCTTTGTTCAAGGAAATGGCAGTTTTAAAGGTCTGTAAAATGAAATTCAGTCTTTGGCAACTGACTGCTGGCTGTCCGTGCCTATGGAAAAGGCAAGTGGAAGGTTCTCCAAGGAAACTTCTGCCTTCCCCTGAGAAGCAAGTCATCTTGAGACTTCACTGGCCATTCGAGGGCCAGTGACCCTGCAATCCCCAGACCAGGCCACAACCCCACCTCTGAGCTGCGAATGACCTCATAAAACTGTGTCTAGACGATATGCATTTCCTGCAAGTTTCTTCCTCTCATTTGCTATCCCAGTGCCTTTTCTCCACAGTTCAAACATACACAGAGGGCCTTTGTTGCCCTTTTAAAGGCCTTCCCAAAGCCCTCCACTCTGCATTGCCCCAGCCTGCTATTGTCGCCACATCTTGCTCCCTTAACAATCCGATTCCAGGTGACTGCCGGGATAAGGGAAGATACAGGTGCATTTTATAACTGTACAAGTCAGTGGAGCCCAGCCTGCGATGCCATGAGAGCGGAGTCACCCAAGGAACTCCTGAATCCAGCTTCTCCCTGCTACCCAAGAGGTAGGTGCACCTCTCTCTGCAGCTTCTCCTTAGCATCTGGCCTAGGGGCCGCAAACAGCAACTGGTGCTTGGATGAAGGTGGCCGCTGCTGAACTGGCATGTGGTACCTGACATTTTTCCAGAACCTTGTCTTTGCAGACTGTAACCTCTCCTCTGTAAAGTCCCCAGACCAGCGTATGGCCCCATGTTTCCGCTTAATGAATTTAATGGATTCTGGCATTTTCTCATAGTCTTGGATTTTCTCCAGCTCCAACAGGACAACTTTGATTCCAGCCTGAATGAGAGCGTTGTACATCACTATCTGCTCTTCAGATGAATCCCCCAGCCAGCCAAATCCCGATGTTTCTCGGACCAAAATGATAATCAGTCTTCTGCTTTTCTTTATGTTTTCATTAGTGACCTCAACAAAGTCTGAAAAGCACAAAATATGGCACAGTAAGTAAAATTTCAATTTATAATCATTCTTTCCAGAACCAAAAGCCCAGAAGACTCCTCCCACTCCATCACTGTCTGTATCTTCTAACGCTCTTTTTTTTTTTTTGCCCTACTTTAAAGGAGTTTCCCATTTTATAGACCAGGTCAAAACAAAAACAACAACAACAACAACAACAAAAACTGACCCACAAACACTGAATATTTCATTTAGGACTTTCAAAATTTTAAAAACTTCTTGTTAAACCATTTGACCTCTGCCACTCTTATTTTATTATATCAGTTGTAAAGTAATTATTGAATCTAAGTAGTTAAGTTTTCCAAAATGAAGTAAAGCTTAGTTAATTGTTGTTCTCACAAAATATGAGAAAAGTAAATACTTTGCATTAAATAATGTGAAAATCATCATTATGCACCGCTGAAGAGGTTCTTAAAATTGCCAAATATGTGTACCTATGCCACAGTCTTCTAGAAAGACAAAGCCCAACTTAATCAACCCAAGATTTAAAACAAGATTTTTACTTTTTCCTATTACATTCATACCTTCCCCAACGTAGTCATCCCTTCCATAAATGAACAGCTTATATCCACACTGGTTTTCTAAGACCTCAGGCAAGACTTTATACACAAAAATATCTGAGTTAGAGGTGGACCCTTCCCCAAGGGTCTTTGGATATAGAATGTATGCATCATAGGTCTTTCCATCTGAAGCTAAAGAAAAAATGTAATGTATTTAAAACCAAAAGGAAAAATAAGAAATTTGGTTAAGACAATGTTGCAAACATACATTTCAAAATGAATTACTGATTTTTTGTGTGTGATGGTATGAATGAAGTAGTAATACCAAAAGTATAATGCCTTTTTTAAGTGCTCAACTCTTATGAGTTTCTATTTATTGTGTTTTACTACAAAGTTGTTTCTATATTATCTGATGGCCACCTCACATACAGAGTTCTTTACCTCTCTGTATGGGAACTATCTTTATTTCCCTGTTCTTCGCTTCTTCCCCAGATGTCTCAGCCCTGCACTCTACCATTCTTCCTTTTGTATATTAATGTAATAGTAGGTTTTTTTGCAAGATTTAAACAAAAGAGAGAGTGCTTCCCTGATGCATGAAAATCGAGCCTTTTCTTTCATTTGAAGGCAAATCTTGGGTGATCTGTGCCTTACCCAGCAGAGCATGTCTTCAGCAATGGCTTCTGAGAGACTGATTTTACAAACAGATGCTCAAAATACTTGTTTATCCCACCGTTATTAACACTAAAGCAGTGGGTTAGAAAATGATCATTTTCAGTCTATTCCGTTATGAAACTATAATTATACATAAGAACAACTATTATTCTTGTGTATTCACATTTCATTTTACAATTTAAGTAAAAACCTTTAGTTATCTTCTATATCCCTTAACTATCTCCTCTTTTCAACAAGAAAATATTGCATAGAATATAAACTGTACCTTTTGGGGAGAGAAAATCATAGCAAGAATTCCTGTACCAAAGTACTATGTCAACCTTGAAGATTTTATAGATGAAAACAGAGCTCATAATGACTACTGTTAACATGACAAATACACCAATCACATGCTTCTGGAAATTGGGGACTATAGCAGAAAAGAGAAAAAATGATTAGAACCAAAAGAATTAAAAATCTGAACATAGCAAATTAAACATTATCATTCCAGAGAACCCATATTTGGGATTGGCCTGCAGTCTCAAATCCCAGCCAGTATTAACCCATTCATTATCACTTCATAATGGCTACTAGTGTACAAAGCCATCTTGAATCGATACTATGTAAACTAAGGTGCATTGTATTAAATTTCCACTTAAGTAGTATAATATAAGATCACATAGAAAGATATCAAAGACCACAGGGTAGAGCACCCCACAGTAAAATGAGCCAAAGTAAGTCAAAGCCTAGAAAAGTTCTTGGAGGTAGAAGAGTCCACTGGGGAAAGGTGACGACTGAGGCAAAGAAAGAGCAGATTAGGGATGCCACACAGAACCGTTCACACTTCCACAGTTCTCCTAGCTTTGCTGCTAATTAGTCAGTCAATGGTTACAGTGGGGAAGGGGCAGAGGAGTGAAGTGAAGGGAGGTAAGAGGGAGGAGTGGAGAAGAAACAAAAAGAAGAAAGAAGAAGAAAGTGACTTCTAAATGTCACGGGCCATGTTGGCAATCGAGAAGGAGAATCCAAAAGCTCTCTTATTTTACTATTTTAATTTAGGTCTTTGATCCATCTGCAACTGATTTGGGTATAAAGTAAGAATCAAGATAGACCCTTTTTCATGCCGATATCCAATTGGCTCAGTAGGTAGTTTACATTTACAGTCTTCACCACTGTAGCTTCATACAAGATTACGGTATCTGTACTATAAATCCTCCAGATTTGTTTTTATTCAAGAACATCTTGATTATTCTTGGCCCTTAATATTTCCATATGACTTTTAGAATAAATCTGCCCACAACAATAAACCTACACACACACCCACACTTTTACCAACAGTGCTGAGATTTTGATTGCAATTGTTTTGAATCTGTAAATTCACTTGGGGAGAACTGACATCTTTATAATATTGTATCTTTCAATCTATGAACATTATATAGGTCTCCAATTTATCTCATTTTATTTTTAGTTTGTATTACAGAGGTCTTGGACAGCTCTTGCTAGATTTATTGAACAGCTCTTACTAGATTTATTCCTTTGATAATTTTTGATGTTATTATAAATGTTATCTTTTAAATTTAAATTTTGTTTGTTATTATAAATGTTATCTTTTAAATTTAACTTTTGTTAGTTATTGGCATTTATAGACATACATAGAAATATTACATATATATAGATTAGTGATCTTACTAAGTTCATTTACTAATTCTAATAGTTGAGCTGTAAGTCCTTTTGGATTTTCTTCCACATACACATTCATAAATACACTATTTTAATTCAACTACAAATACTTTTAAAATGTGTCACAAATACTTTCCATACCATGTTTGATTATACAACTCATGAAAATCTATAACTTCTGACATCGTCTCTGAAAAGTGGATATTTAGGCTTCCCCAGTGCATCTATTATGTAGTCATTCACCTAAAAATATTCATTAGGTACCTGTGGTGACCAGACTTAAGTTGCTCGGGAAATAGAATAGTTAGTAAGATAAATGGTCTGCACCATCACAGAATTTACAGTCGAGTAAAGAAAATTAAGTGGGATAAATACTGTGACAGGTCATATAGTGCTGTGTAAGTACCTAACAGTGGCTCTAACCTCGTCTGACTGAGCAGAGAGCCAGGTTAAGGGTAGGCAAGACAGAAAAGCTCCCCAGAAGAAATAGTCGACTGAGAGTGAACATGAAAGAGAAGTGACCTAAGTTTTAAGGAATCCTAGAAAGTTCTGGTCTGAGAAAATAACACTGTAAACCACATGGTCATGGGTTCTTACCATGGTAAAACACAATTACATTTCCAATAAATAGTTTTGTTGTTTACCTGGATGTATTAATTGGATGTATGCTGCATTTATACCATATGTATTCTTGGCTATACAGGTAAATGGATACAGGTAAAATTTACTTTTCACTTCTGAAATGTTAAGCATTGTGAGGATGGTATTCTTTTTTTTGGATGAAGGATTTTCCACTCTGTTCAAAAATGGGAGAGCAAAGTTATTTAAGTAAATTGCATCAACTACAAATAAGATACATGTGCATGGTTTATCTCTTTGTCGCATAAATTGCAGCAGAAATAATCACCAGCCCTAAGCACAGGTATAACAATCAGGCTGTTAGCAGCACTGACCTGAGATGTGATAGCCCTAAGTCCACTGCCAGTAAAAGACTCAGTAGCAGAGAAATCAAAGTAAAATTACCAGCTTCCAAGAAGAAAAATGTGGACATATGCACCTGGTCCCCACCAAGCACAGAGAAGAATATATGACACGAAAGTGGACTGGGCTAATGACAAAGGGTTTAAAGGTGATGCTAAGAAGGCAGGAGTATGTCTCCTAGAGAGGTAATAGGGAGCCATTAGAGACTTGAGCAGTGGAGTTCATGATTCTCTTCCCCATGTAATGAGTCCTTTTTAGATAACTTAAAAAATGGGATAACATAAAGGATAATTCAGGAAAATTGTTTCATTACAATGTTGCAACATATATAACTGAATTTAAAAGAAAGTTTTCCAAGTAGTCCTGAATTTGCACACAATGACACGTATTTTTACCTTAAGTGTACAAAGTCTTATAAAGTCTGTTTGCCTTAGCATAACTCAATATGGGCAGCAAAGGGATAAGAATCAATCAACTGCCAACTAACCCTTGCTATTAGATGGCATGCAAATTAACACCAAAACTTCTCTAGTGCATGGCTAGCTCTCAGCATACGTACTGTTGGTAGTCTTTCACCAGCAATGGATCATCGTGAATTACTGACCCATTCCACTTCCAGTAGACTAAGTCACTGTACTGGCCAGTCACATTGCATATCAGTTGAAGCTGGGATCCTACAAAGCAATGTATTTTTAAATATAACATTAATTGATTTTTAGCCAATCTATATTCACGAATGGCTATTGAATAAACTTTTTAAATTATAGGAAAGCACAAAGGACAAGAAAAATTGTCCTAAAAACTACCACACAGAGATAACCACGGTTAGTAACTTTATGTATCTTGTTCCTTTTCATCTCTGTACACATACAAAATTTTTTAAACTGGATTTTATTGTCTACTGTTTGTAATTATTGTTGCAATGGGAATTTTGGCTTGCGCAATCAGCCTTCCAAAATAGGCCCTTTCATTGCAGCTTAATATTTCATAATATAGATATACTATGATTAATTATTTTCCTATTGCTAAACACAATTTGTTTCTAATTTTTCATTATTATAATTATTATTCCAATAAACATTCTTATACATCAATATTGTACATATTCTGAGGTATTACTTTGAACAAAAATCTGGAAGCAGAATTGAGTTAAAAGAGACAGATATTTTAAAAGCCAACTCTGCTCTCCTGTGAGACTGTACCAATCTACGCTGTGCCCAGCGGTGTGTGCAAGTGACATTTATCCCCAACACTGCCAGACACCAAACATCTTTTGGTTAGTCATTGCCAATTCAGAGAAGAAAAAAATTCCATTTGAATTTTTAGCTGCATTTCTCGAATTCATTGTGCATTAACATGTTTTTCAGTAGCTTAGTGTTCATCTGCCTTGAAGAACTGCTTGTTATGCTGACTATCCATTATTTAATTGCATTCTCATATTATAAACTTACTGATGTGTAGGAGAACTTTATTCACCAAGGATATCAACTCTTTATCACATATAAAAACTATTCCAAATGCCCTTGAGAATTTGTTGTTTTCATTTCATTTTTGTTTATGAAAATTCTTTGGTGTAGGTATTTTTGTTTTTTATTTGGTCAAATGTATAACTTTATTTTATCTCTTTTCACTATTTTTTTTTTTTCTAAAAGCCCTCTCTACCACTAAATCAGAAAAATATCCACATAAATTTTCTTTCAGGCATATAATACTTTCATTCTTTTGTTTTAATTGTTTCAATTTTTTAATCTGTCTACAATATAATTGGGTTTGATATAAGGAAGAGCTTTAACTTAATGATTTTAGTCAAACAGCTGATTGATTATCCCAGAACCACTTATTAAATAATAAATCTTTTCCCCACGAATTTGTAATGCCACCATTATCATGAAGTAAATTCTTATTTATTTGGGACTGTCTCAGTTGATCTGAATGTGTATACTGATGCCAAAGGTAACACACTCCTAATTACTGCAGTTTTTAGAGTTAGGTAAATAGTAATAGCATTTAGACCTCTTTTTCCCAACATTATCATAATAATCTCATTATTTTATTCCCTCAGATGAATTTTAGAATCACTTGCCAATTTTTAAACCCATTCATTTTTGAATTGGAATTCCATTAAATCTGTAGCATAATTCTGAGAGTCAATATCTATGTAATTTCCAGTTATTCACATAGAAAAAACATACATATCTCTATTATAGCTTTCTATTTTAAATTGGTGTTTCTCAAAATTGTTTTCAATATTGCTCCCTTTAAAGCCCTATTAGATGCTTTTATCCTTATTGCCAACCTTCCCCATAAAGTAATACTGCAGACATACAGTATATCTGTTGATTCAGATTTTTTTCTCCCCATTGGACACACTGCTCCACCACTCCTTTGAGAATGTATGCTTTAAATCTCTCAATTTTTCTAAAATTTTCATGTCAAGATTTCCTCTTTTTGCTTGTTTTTTTTCCTCTCTCACAAATTCCATGTATTTTAAAAATTTTTGCTAAGATTTTTTATAGACATCTCTATGATATTTATTATTGCAAATGGGATCTCTTTTCCCATTATGTTTTCTAGCTGATTACTGCTAAACAACTCTAATGTTTTTGGAATATTAATTTTATATCTGGCCAATTAATAAAGTATTAATTCTAATTTTTCCCAGCAATTCTCTTGAGATTTGGAGGTACATAATTATATGATCTAAAAATAATAATGAAGTTCTCTTCTCCTTTATAGTAAGCATGCCTTGGTTCTTTTCTTTTATCTTTGATTAAATATTTGGGCACTTGCAGCTCATGTTAAGTAATACTGGTCATGTGGGCAGCTTTGTCTTGCTCTTGACTTCAATGAGAATGTCTATGCTTGTAGGCCTAATGCTATATACTACAGTGTTTTACCATTAAGAATTTTGGTGATTATTGGTTTGAATGGGTGTTTATATGTTCGTTAAGGAAGTATCCCTCAATTTTTATTCTTCTAAGTCATTTTATTGGCAATTTGTATTTAATCTTACCAAATGCCTGTTTCACATGCTTCAGGGTAATATGACAGGGGGATGCGTGCATCTGATCAATGTGATATATTAAAATATTTGTTTCTTAATAGGAAACTATTTTGGGGTTTGGAGATCACTCCAACCTAACCTTTAAGCTCTAAAGTATACACCTCTTGAGTATGCATTCTTGTGGCCAATGGGGCAAAACGTGGTTCCTAGTGAGAGGCAAGGAAATCTTAGCTATGGCAATGGGCTGTGGCACAGCAAAATGCCATAGCACATCCACAGATGAACAATATCTCCGTGGTTGTAAAGTCACAAAAAAGGGAAGAGGATGTGAGGTAAATGTCTTTTTAGGCTCTAAAGGGGAGCAATCATGAGGGAAAAAACAGGCTGAGAAACACTGCTCTAGATTCTACTGGCTGTATTTAACTTTGAATTTTCACATCTTTGTTAGTTTATATCTAAGAATAATTTTATATAACCTTTCACCATGAATAACAACTGGCCAAGTACAGAAAACATAGGTCACAAACTTTTATCTTCCTGCAGTTAGTTGTCTTCTTGCAGTTACTATTTCAGAAAAGAATTCTGTGTGCCACCCTGAGTTTTGATACTCTGATATAAAAATCTTTTTCTATGTTTAGACCAGTAGTTTCCAACAGAACTTTCAGCGATGGTGAAAATGTTCTGGATTTGTGCTAATAGTGTAATCACTGGTCATATATATATAACCACATATGGCTAGTGGCTATTGTATAGTACAGTACAGGTTTGGATACTTATAAGACTTCTTTATTCTTGAAATAAAAAAATGTTCACTAACTTCCAGAAGTATTTCTCCAGAATAACTATCTTTCTGGCTTGTAGTCTTATATGGTGAAAATGTTCTGGATTTGTGCTAATAGTGTAATCACTGGTCATATATATATAACCACATATGGCTAGTGGCTATTGTATAGTACAGTACAGGTTTGGATGCTTATAAGACTTCTTTATTCTTGAAATAAAAAAATGTTCACTAACTTGCAGAAGTATTTCTCCAGGATAACTATCTTTCTGGCTTGTAGTCTTACTCTTCTGCCTAAAAGCTTAGCTGTGGTCATAAGAAATTCATCCTCTGACAAATAAATTACATTTCTCATTTCTAGGCCTGTTGAAGTTAGCCTCTGGCCGGTGTATTCATGGGTAATAAGTATACATAGGAAAGCAAGGATGGGCAAATCAAACATGGCTAGATTTCTGCCATAAGGGGCAAGAAATAACAAGAAACATTTAAGATACAATCTTTGCCACTGTCTCTCTAATTACAGTTGTGTCTAGTAAACAGCTTAGGTTATGTGTAGTAAAGGTACAGGTTATCTTAATCTGGAGTTCAAAATAATAATTTCAGTGTTTCCTGATTGGTGGCCACTTACCCAAGACCACTTCCAGCGTCTCGTTAACTGGACTCTCAATCACAGGCCTCTTAGGCTTGTATTCCTCTGAAAGAAAAACATCCACAGGGTTTCTCAGTCTCGTATAGATCTGAATCTCAGGTGATGACAACACTTGGCCAAATATACCAAAATACACTATACAATATTTGAGTGCCTGAAGCATTTATGGCAGGAGACAGAAGGCAAAAGGCGAAAAGAGGAGGCTGACACCATGGCCACAGCAAAACCTTGGCCGCTATTAAGCTATTAAGCTCAGGCCCTTCGGACCCCATGGAGTTTGGTGCTACAAATATCACACACAACACCAAGACCTAGGTCTCCAGACAAACACCTCTCTTAAAGCAAATCAGGAAAAACAAGCAGTGGTGGCAAGGTACTTCCCTGGATGAAGCATTCCCCAGAAGGGCCATCCAATGCTAGACATGCTTGTATTCAGTACCTTCGGCGATGACTCGAGAAAGGAATATCAAGCTATTTGGCATAATTTATTAAAACAGGCCAAAAAATACTAAGGAGTTCCAGAAATTAACCTTGAATTCATTTACAAGAAGGCTGGCTTCAAGGGTTAATGTGTGACCAAGACAGAGAAACTCTGAACCTGAATGTCAAGTATTCAAAAGAAAAAAAAAAAGTAAGCTCCATCAGGCCAGAATATTGTCTTTTTTGCTCACTAATATATACCCAGAACAGTGCCTGGCACATAGTAGATGCTCAGTAAATAGTTCTGAATCTGCCTTTAGGAGACAACATAAAATGAACTCGCCCCTAACTAAGTATATTATTTCTACATAAGGGATCAGAAAGGGAGATGGAAGAAGATTTTAAACAAATTTGACCTGTTGGAAAATTTCCTAATGCCCAGTTTCCCCTAAAATTCTATTTGCTGGTCTGGTTGCTATATTTCATGAAAAACAAACCAGAGCTATACAATGCCAGAAAGAGGCTACTAAAACTTCAATAAGGTTGTGATACAGAGAGTGTGGAAAATTACAGTTCACTGATGCTCATGGGATCCAGGCAAGAAATTAATTTTGATTCAACAAAATTAACTTTGAAAAAAATGAATTATTATAGAATTGAGAAAATTCAGCTAGATGCAGGGTGATCGTATTCTGGATGACGTTGGCACAATCCCCATTTACGCTTGTTGACTCAGCATCATTATTAATAGAGATCCCTTTAACTTTAAAAGTCCTGGTTAGAGTAACTCTTTGTATAGTACTGAAAGCTTACAAAATCTGATATTTACAGAAAAGTTGAGAATTCTTCCTATCCCCAGGTAATCTGTAAGAGCTCATTTGTTGGCAAATAGTTTTTAATATGAAACATGGTTAAAAGAGAAATGAAAGCCTCGAGGAAATTAACAAGAATAGTCATTGTACATCTATTTATTGCTCATCTGTTTTGCACCAGGCACATAACCACACACTTGACCTCTAATCTTCTCAAGAACCTTGGAAGGTTGTATCACCTTCATCCAGAGGAGAAAACCATCTTGGAGAGGTAAAGCAACTGGGTGAACAGGGACTGAACAAGAAGAGGTAGATTCTGGGAGTGTAACTTATCCCAAAGCTTGTTCACATCCATGCCATCGTGCAAAGAATCCTCACTTCTGGACACTCAGATTCCCCAAATGAAGCCGCTCAGTTTGTCCTCAAACACCAGGTGGAGACAGCCCCAGAGCTCTCTAGAAGAACCACCTTCAGCCATCCCAAAGAAAAAGCCTCCTAGTTGTCTGTTTAATTAGCACTGAGTCTGAAGCAGGGATGAAAGCCATTGACATAGCATTTAGCAATGAAAACTAACTAAAGCCATGTGACCTTTAGCAAGTCATTAAGTTTCTCTTGGCTTTTGTTCCTCCATGGAGGGTAATATTAGAATCGTGGTCTCTGGGTCTTCCCAGATGTAAACTCCGAGGATTGGAACTGTGACTCACCTAAAGTAATAAGTTCTATAACCCGGGTGATACCATATTGCTTTCCCAAGTATGTGTAGGATGCATGACAAGTATAGTTCCCTTTATGCGCTTCAGTCACATTCCTCATGATGAGTTTATTTATTTCTCCAATAAAGTTTATCTTGTCAAGAAGAAGAGGTTTGCAGTCCTAGAGCGACAGGAAGTATTGCAAACCAATTAATAACTTTACCCAGTCTGCCAGCAAAGGAAATTCCATTTGTTCACATCAATATTTTATATGTATGTAATATATATAATATATACACTTTATGTATATTATATATACATACATATATGTACATACATATGAAACAAAAGGTTCCTTGCATACAAGTTTTAATATTGTCATTTTTATAGCAAAAATCATAATTATACTCTTAAGATATTAAATTTTTAGGCCTATGAGCCTTGTACTTCAAAGACAAATGAAAAATTTGTTTGGCAAAAATATATATAATATATACACTTTATGTATATTATATATACATACATATATGTACATACATATGAAACAAAAGGTTCCTTGCATACAAGTTTTAATATTGTAATTTTTATAGCAAAAATCATAATTATACTCTTAAAATATTAAATTTTTAGGCCTATGAGCCTTGTATTTCAAAGACAAATGAAAAACTTGTTTGGCAAAAACAACAACGACAACAAAACACACGTTTGAGGAAAGAACATTAACAGTACAGTTTCTTCGTAATGCTGTACTTCCTTTCTTCACTATTATTTATTTTATATTTCTTATCAGTGATCCCCAACCTTTTTGGCACCAGAGACTGCTATAAGAATCTCAGGCCTGATGATCTGAGGCGGAACTGAGGCAGTGATGCTAGCGCTGGGGAGTGGCTGCAAATACGCATGAAGCTTTGCTTGTTTGCCCGCCGCTCACCTCCTGCTGTGTGCCCCAGTCCCTAACAGGCCACAGATCGGTACCAGTCCACAGCCCAGGGCTGGTGACCTCTGCTCTACAGGATGAAACCCCACATGAACTCCAACAAACAAGGCACATCAAAGGTACTGAAACATCATGTGTTCCATGGAGTGCTGGCCAATCCACTTTTACGACAGATGCAGAAACCACTAAGTTATTTAAGAACCACTTGATATTTTTAATAAAACACAAAGTAGTATACTTTGTAATAAATAGTTATCTCTTAAAAAAACTGAATTTATACTCAGCTTTATCTTTAAACATCTTTTATTCCTACTATACTCTTCTCAACTCTACATTATTAAATTAAATTAAAATAATAGAAAGTGAGATTTTAGTTAAGCTTCAAGTTAAATGTATGCAGTCTTACAACTCTTTCAAAAATTCCTATTAAGTTTCACCACCCAAAAGCAAACAATATGCCAAATGAAAAAGTACTTTGCAGATTCATACTATTGTTTACTACAGAAAGCTATTTTACTTGCTGGAAAAGTAAATCAACATACTTAATATAATATTACCTTATACCACTGTATTTTGGGGAACTCATTGTATTCGTCTTTAAAATAATCCAAATAAGGACACACAAGTTGTCCATCTCCTGCGATGGGTAGTCTTTGTGTAAATATAGTTTCTGCACTGTAACACAAGTTAGGCTCGGGCTGTACAAACTTTGCAGTTATTTCAATTTTGAGGCAGTAAGTTGAATTTCTAAAATAAATCAAAATAGGTGAATTAAGCACTATTTAAAGATTTTTCTTTAACTACTGAGGGTCCATAGGACACATGTTTATAACACATTAATTCCTTTCTTACCTTACTGCACAATAGTATTGTTCTGAATCCTCTACCTTAGCAGGAACAAACCAAAGTTTATCTTTATACTGATGAATCCTGGAGTCTCTTTCTGAAGATATAGGTGTCTTGCTGTCATTTTTATACCAAATTATAGTTCCTTTGTTTTCATTTGGGTTAAGAGGACAGGAACGAACATCAATTTCATTTGCAGAAGAAACTAAAACTATTCGTTCTTTACGTTTCTCACAGTTATCTTTAAAAGAGAGAAAAGAAAAGCAATTTCTATAAGAAATCTGTCAATGTTTCTTAATGTAATACCTACATATAAACAAATCAATTATTAAATACATCAACTCATATTAAATATGAGTTTTAACAGCCATATGATTAAGAGTGTTATCTTTGAAGTCTGAAAGATTTATACTCAAATCCAGTTGTATAACTTAGTACCTGTGTACCCTTGAGAAGTTCCTTAACCTCTCATCCTCTCTTAATTCATCTAAAAATTAGTAATAATCTAGCAGGAAAGATACCCGCTTCAGTATGATATGGAATATCAGGAACTGGATATACCCTTCCACCTGAACAACCAAAAAATGGACAAAGTATATGAAACAACAATGTTTGAGACATTGAACATCAGGGAACAAAGGACAGAAATGTCAGAAAGATGGAAAACGAAGGAGGTGAGCTCTATAATTTTCCCAAATTACTGCCTAGGCCATGACATTGCAAGGAGGAAATGTAGGCAAAGCCTAATGTTTCTCTGAGTATAGGAGATGGAGCTGGGAATCCAGGTAAACCAAGGGTTTTCAGGGTAGAGTACAGGGCTGGGGAGAGGCGGTGGTGGGGAGGGGAGAGAGAGAGAGATTGAGAGAAGGCTACAGAGAGTCTCCCTTAAGTTTTCACCTGAGTATTGATTGGTGTAAATACGTAAGAAAACTATCTAAGGCCAGAGTAGGAATTGCCAAAAGATTACATTGAATAATATCCGCAGCACACACAATTCTGGAATAGTCATTGTTATCACTAGCTGGAATGCGGTGGTGGGGAGGGGAGAGAGAGAGAGATTGAGAGAAGGCTACAGAGAGTCTCCCTTAAGTTTTCACCTGAGTATTGATTGGTGTAAATACGTAAGAAAACTATCTAAGGCCAGAGTAGGAATTGCCAAAAGATTACATTGAATAATATCCGCAGCACGCACAATTCTGGAATAGTCATTGTTATCACCAGCTGGAATAGGGCACCAGGTAAAATACCCAGAAGGGTTTCTACTCTGAATATGGGGCAAATTAGGCCTAGAAGAAACCATGTTCTAATCATGACTAATAAAGCTTAAAATCAAGACCTGAAAGGATCAACTATTTCTAAGTAACAACCTTGTGACAGAACAAAGCTCAAAAACATCTTTAGTAATACAAAAATATCCAGCACCCAACACAACAGAATCTACAATGTGTGGTATATAATAAAAAATTACGAGGCATGTAAAGAAGTAAGACAATATAACCAATAATGAAGAGTAAATAATCAGTCAATCAAAACTAACCCAGAAATGAAAGAGATAATAGAATGGGTAAATAGATGGAAATGGATAATAGATGGAAAAATTAAAATAGTTATTACTATGGTGTTCCATTTCTTTATGATAGTAGATCAAACATGCTGAGAAGAGACATGAAAGAGGATTTAAAAAAAAAAAAAACTTAAACCAAATTTCTAGAGATGAAAACTACAATGTTTATTTTAAAAATGCTGGATATGATTAATGGCAGTTTTAACATTACAGAAGAAAAGATGAGTAAAGTTCAAGACAGAGCATTAGAAACTATTCAAAATTAAATACAGAGAGGAAAGTAACAGAATAATAAACAAGGCATTAGTTAGCTGCAGGACAACTTTAAAACATGTGCTATGAATCCCTAAAGAAAAGGAGAGATGTGTGAAACAGAAAAAGCACTTGAAGAAAGACAAGTTGAAATATGTGCAAGATTTTATGAAAATGACAAACTCACAGACTTCCAAGTCACAATAAACTCTAAGCAAAAGAAACATGAAGAAAACTACACCAAGATAAAAAGATGCAGCATTCTTGCCAGAAACAAGCTGGGAGAGAATGGAATAAAGGTAAGTACTGAAAGAAAAGAATCAGCCTAGACTTCTATAATCAGTAAAAGTATCTCTCAAAAATGAAGGAAAAATAAAGACTTTTTTTTATATTTATAAAAGCTGTAAAAATTCATCAGCAGTTGACCTGCACTACCAAAAAAATGTAAGGAAGTCCTTCAGAAAGAAGGAAAATAATACCAGATGAAAAAACGAATCTACAAAAAGGAATAAATAACACCAGAAATGTTTACTACATGAGTAATTATAAAATAATTTTTCTTATTATTTAAATCTCTTTTAAAATAACTGAATGTTCAAAACAAAAATAAAACATATTGTGAGATTTATAACATATAAAGCAATAAAATATATGGAAACTAAAGATCAAGAAGGGAGAAGTGGATGTATACTGTTTTAATTTTTTAAAATGGTATAGGATCGATTAAAAGTAAATAGTGATAAGTTAAAAAGGGATATTGGAAGCCGCAGAGCAGTTACTTAAAAAACAAAAACAGTTACCTATATAAGCCAACCTAAAAGATCAAATAAATCATGAAAATCCTCAATTAATCCAAAAGGCAGCAAAAAAAAAAAGAAAGAAAGAAAAAAATAACAAAGAATTGAAGGAACAAACAGAAAATAAAATAACATGATCCTAAAATTAAACCTAAACATATTAATAATCATATTAAAATTTCAGTGGTCTAAACGCCCCAATTGCAAGGCAGAGATGATCGGATTGAATAAAGAAAGAAAGCTCCAACTGCACGCTGCCTAACACACATATATACACATACTTTAAATATAAAGTCACAAATACATTAAAAGCTAAAAAAGGAAGGAGGGGATATACCATGTTAACACAAATCAAAAGCAAATTTAAATGGTTATTATATTGTTATCAGCTAAAGTAGATTTTACAGTAAAGAATATTACCAGGAATAAAAAAGGCCATTTCTCTATGACAAAGGAGTCATTTATCAAGAGGTACATAGTAATCCTAAATGTTTACCCTCTCACTAAGAGTGCTTCAAAATACATGAAGCAAAAACTGATAGAACTACAAGGAGAAATAGAGAAACCTATAATTAGAGTCAGAGATTCCAATATCCTACTCACAGTAAGTGATAGAACAAGTAGAACAAATAGACAGATAATCAGTAATGACACAGAAAATTTGAAGACATATCAACCAATTTGGCATAATTGATATTTGTAGAAAAATCCTACCCAACAACAGTAAAATACGCATTCTTTTTATGTGCACACAACAAACTTACCAAGATATATCATATATTCTCGCTCATAACCCAATAATCAATGCATTATTAAGGATTCAGATTAGACAAAGTATGTTCTCTGGTGACAATGCAATTAAATTAAAAAACAGTAACAGGAAGATATCTGGGAATTCTCAGTGTATTTGAAAACTAAAAAACACGACTCAAGAGTCACGAAGAAACTCACGAGTCAAAGAAGAAATAAAAAGAAAGATTAGAAAGTATTTTGATTTGAATGACAAAAAATGTCAAAAATTGTGGCATGCAATGGAAACAGTATCTAGAGATAAACTGAGAGCACTTAATGTCAATATGAGAAAAAAGAACTAAAAATGATGACTTCAATTCCCACTTAAGAAATTAGAAAAAACTGCGCCCATAGTAATCAAAAGTAAATAATACAGATCCAAGAGAAAAATCAATGAAATGCAAAAAAAAAAAAGAAAGTAGAGAATAATCAAAGATACCAAGGTCAATTTGTTCAGAAAATCAATAAAATTGATAAAATCTCCAGCCAGATTGATCAAGATCAAAAGCGACATTGCTAGGGAAAACAATTTTAAAAGAGTAATAAAAAATTTTTAATAATTTTATGCCAATAAATTCAACAAGTGATGTGAAAGGAGCTAATTCCTTGAAAGGCACAGATGATAAAAGTTCCCTCAAGTAGAAATAGATAACCTGAATAACCCTATAGATATTAAAGAAACTGAATTCATAGCTAAAAACCTTCCAACAAAGAAAATCTCAGGCCTAGATGGCTTCACTGGTGTATTCATGGAAGAAACAACACAAATTTTACCGAAACTCTTCCAAAAAATTAAGAGTTAATAACACTTCCCAACTCTATGAGGTCAGCATTATACTCTAACACCAAAACCAAAGAAAGGCATTACAAGAAAAAAAAATCACAAACTAATCTTCATTATGAACGTAAATGCAAAATTTCTTTAAAATAGGTTAGCAAATTGAATCCTACAATATATCAAAAAAAGATAAGACATTATAATGTACATAACATCCTAAAAATGCAAAGTTGGATTCACATTAAAAAAAAATCAAACAATGAAGTTCTATATATTAACAGAATTTAAAAGAAAAACTACCTAATCATCTAATAGATGCAGAAAAAGCATTTGACAAAATCCAACTTCCATTTCTGATAAAAACTCAGCAAACTAGGAGTAGGAGGAATTTCCTAAACCTAATAAAGGAGAGCTACGAGAAACCTACATATATAGTAAGGCTAGGAGCAAGATAAGGATGTCCACTCTAATCATTTCTGTTCAACATGGTACTGGAAGATCTAATTAGTGGCCATTATGGCAAGGAAAAAAAAATGGCATTCAGATTGAAGGAGAAAGTAAAATGGCTTTATTTGCAAGCAACATGATCACCTATGTAGAATATATAATGAAATCTACAAAAGACCTAAAAGGATTAATAAGTTGTAGGATACAATATAAATATGCAAAATTGAATGTGTTTCCATATACTAGCTAAGAACAATTAAAAACTGAATTTTTAAATACCATTTACAATAACATCAAACTGATTTATATTCAACTCAATTCCAATTAAAATCTGAGCAGGACTGCATACAAATGAACACGCTGATTCTAAAACTTATATAGAATTAGTCAAAACAACTTTAATTTTAAAAAGAACAAAGTCAAAGGAGTTACACCGCCTTACTTCAACATTTATTATAAAGCCACAGGAATTAAGACAATGTAGCATTGGTATAAAGATGAACAGTTCACTGAAACAGAATAGAGGTCCCAAAAATAAATTACACAAACATATTCAACTAATTTTTACAAAGGCACAAAGGTAATTCAGTGGAGAAAAGATAGTCTTTTCAATAAATTGAATAACCTTATGCAAAAATGAAAACAAAAACAAAACAAAAAAACTTCTGATACAAGATTTCCAGAATGGCAGAGGAAAGTTCTCCAAAAACTCACTTTATAAAAACAATAAAAAGCTTGGAAATTTTTTGTTTCAAAATCAAAGGCTTATAACAATCACACCATTTATTACTCTCATTCCCCCATCTTCTCAGCTCTACTATAGCCTTGAAAACCAGCAGCCTTACATACATGGGAGTTGTTAAACCCAGCAAGAGCAGACCTGTCTGGAGCTTCTCACAAAGTCTCATTCCCAAGCATTGCCATAATTTCACCTGATTGGCAGCTCCCTGGAAATGTCACACAAAGTGGTGGTGTTATTGGTGTTATTGTCCCGACTCAGAGCTCTATAAGAAAGCCCTATCCTTGGAGTGTCTGTTAAAAAAATCAGTGGCAACCGTTTAACACTGCAGCTGCCTGAAGCTGCGGTACCATCTGGTCTAAGAAAAAGTAAGATCTGAGAAACTAAATGTCCATAGGAGGATTTGAAAAGCTCTACTATATTCCTGGGTAATACAGAAGAGCACACATGTATATGAGGCTGTGTACATGCCCAGGAAAGACCAGAGAAGGCACCAGTCTCTTAAATATGAATGAACTTGAAGTCATATATGGGCAGGCAGTGAAGGCTGAGGCCTAGTTGTGAATAGCCTAAGTGTTGAAGGCATACCCCAACACACATAGACCCCTCAGCAAAGGGCAGGGGACTTTTGGGTCCAATAATCTAAGGCAATCTCTGACCAATCGTCAGATGACAAGCAGAGACTTCAGTAGCCATACACTATAGGAAAAAGATCAAAAAGAAACTGTAGAGTATGAGAGATATAAATTCATTATCTTGATCGTGATGATGATTTCAGGGATGGATATGTATGTCAACACATCAAACTGTATACTTTAAACACGTATGGTTTATTGTTATGTCAATTATAACCTTGAGCTGCTGAAAAAGAATGGAAATAAAAGTGGCTAGGCATTAGCACAGTATCTGCACAGAGTGAGAACTCCTAGTATTTAGCTACTAGGAGTGGCAGCAGCAATAATAGTAGCGAAAAAAAGAATAAACCTTAAGTAAGGTCTCAGCTGGATATACTCTTCTATTCATCTGGGATTTGCGCCACCACTCCACCAAAATTGTTCTGATCGAGGTTACTTATGACTTTTTAGTTGCTAAATTAAATAGAAAACTCTCCAACATCACCTTATTTAACATATCTGCACGTGACACGTATTATTACCCAAATGACCTCATCCCTTATCACCTCTCTCACCTTTCACTCCGCTCCAGCACTCTGGTTTTAATTCCTGAAACATGCTAGTACTCTTGGCCTCAGGGCCTTGACCCAGGCTGCCTGGAATGTTTCCCCACCCCCAACCTATATACCTCCCTCCAGTTTTGACCCAAAAGTCAACTTCTCAGTGAGGTTTTTTCCAGTGACACTAGCAAAAAATTTAACCTTCTGCCCACCCCAATCTCAAAACTTTATACCTTCCTTTCCTGCTATTTTTCGCTCTATACTGATCACCATATGACCTAATAACTACTTATCTAATCTATCGTCTCTCCCCCACCCCCCACGTGGAATGTAAACTCCCTTCAGACAGATACTGCTGTCTGCATTATTCACTTCTGTATCCCCAACATCTAGTGACTGGCACAGAGTACGGGCTAAATACACTTGTAGTAAGGGAGGAAGAGAGAAAATGAATAAATAAAGAACAAAGAACTGTCTCTTGATGGCTTCCATTTGCGTGTTCATAAAGACATTTAACACGTCTTCTTAAAAAAAGCCGGAATTTCCTGTCTCATACTCTTCAATCAGCAACACAGTGGAAAGAGGCTTGGATTAGACAATGGAGACCTAGATTTTAGCTCTTGCTCTGAAACTAGAGAAATGACCTTGGGCTCTTAACTTTACTAAGCCTCAATTTACAAATTCTATAAACAAGAGAATAAAAAGTGAAGATGCTGAAAGGAACATCCAGGAGTACCATTCTGTGACCAGGAGATTCAGCAGAGACAGGTAACAAAAATGATTCTGTTAGCTAAGGTACTTCGTGTATTCTAAATAACAGATTTTCTTAGCCGACAAGAACACAAGGACATGCTTAACTTACCAGCCTCCAGAGAAGAAATCAGTAGAGCTATGAAACAAGCAAGCCTGAGTAACACTTTCATATTCTCCTGGAGAAACAGAGGAATGGAAGAAAAACAAAAGTCACTATTCCAGAAAATCTCTAAAACTACATACAATGACCCCCTACCTATCCCCATACTCACCCCCAAGTCACACTGACGGGTTTGTCCCCTTACATCATTAATGTAATCATGCTTTTGAATAGAAAATGGGGAGGAGGGAGAATAAAGAATTTTTTTAACAGACTCGGGGACAAACTCAGCTTAAAATCAGTAAAACTTCATCATCTGTCCCAATATTCAGTTCCAGTCTTGAATATCATTTAGATTTCCCCCAAATCTTATCTGTGCTATATCCAAAGTAGACTATGTACTAGACCCTAAACCAGCTTGCCTCTACTTAGATGGGTTTGTTCCCCACCTGGAAGGCACTCTACTAACGGGACCCATTTGCAAAAGTCTCCTCATACTTCCAGGTCCAGCTCAAAGGTGACACCTTCATTTTATAAGGTAAGACACTAAATCATTTGTGTAAGATGATATAGCTGCATGGAAATGCACACAAAAAAAGACTAAAAGAAATAACATTATATTAAAATTGGCTTGGTTATTATGGTTGGGTGGTTTTGCCCTTCTTTCAAGCTTTCTACCCAAAATTTCTACAGTGAGCATGTATTAATTGTATCACAATAAAAAAATAAATAAAAATAAAAATAAACTGAAATAAAACCTCCACAGCGCCCCTGAGAGGTTTAGAAAGCCATACCAACATAGCATCCGCTGTAATAGGTATCACGCAGCAACAGGGCTACATATTAAACTGAGTCCCTGGTAACTCATTATTTTAATTACATAGCGATAAAACCTCCACAGCGCCCCTGAGAGGTTTAGAAGGCCATACCAACATAGCATCCACTGTAATAGGTATCACGCAGCAACAGGGCTACGTATTAAACTGAGTCCTTGATAACTCATTATTTTAATTACATAATGCATTGTCCACATACATGGCAGGGGGTGTAATCTGAATAAGTATTTGATTCGTGCTGGAAGGAAACTATACCATCGCCTTATCTACAAAAACAACATCACTAAAATCATAGCAATTGAATGCAAAAAAGAAAAGAAAAATTCAATTGTGCCTACTGTCCTCAACTTCCCCAGCCCAAATGGAGGTAATGTTCAGTACAACTTCTTTTCCTCTCTGATTTTTCCTTACCATTAGGGTTCCTGAATGGGATCTAACGATCATGTACAATAAGTTCCAGTATGGAATCTCCAGGAAACTTTGGCACAAATCTATCTATCTGAGGGCTCACGAATACCGCAAACTCAACAGGCCCCAAAGTAAACCGTCTCTCCCCACCAGATCTGCTTCCCAGTGCCATGGGGGCATAGCACTGCTCCACATAGGCCTTGCAATAGTCTGCCTCCTCACACCATCAGGCTGACCCAGTTCACTCACGCCCGCTGCTGACACCGCTGTAGCCAAAGCAATCATCAGCTCCTGCCTGGATTAATTATAGCTACAGGCTCCCTACTGGCCTCTCTCCCTCTGGATTTACTGCTTCCATTCATGCCAGAGGGCCTAAAACTCATAATTACCAAGCTGTCTGCTCAAAACACCTTTGTTGGCTCCCTGGGCCTCGGTTTCCACATTCCTTACCTGTCCTGTAATTCTGACATTTTATTCATGTTAGGAAGTCCAAACTCCTTAGCAAAGCACACAGGTTTTTGTGCAGAGGCTCCACCTTACCTCTCCAGACTCAAGCTCCCATCTCCTCCCCCACACCAGTCCATAAGTCATTGCCCTGCTCTCTAGTCTCAGAGCCTTGTCCTTCATGATTCCCTGTGCTCTTTACCTGGCCACCTCCTATAGCGTTCTGGTCTCAGGCCAGGTCGCTCTCCTCCTAGTCTGCCCAAGGAGCCCCCAAACCCCTTGTCTGGATAGGTCTTCCTCCTCTGGGCCCCCGGGGCAATCTGTGCTCATGCCAGTCACAGCCTTTAGTACATTTTACTGCAGTTACCCCAGGACAGGAAGCCTCAAGAGGGCAGGAAACATGGCACCCACAGCATCCAGCACTGTGCTTGGAACCCAGATCTCAAAAAATGAATGGGAAAAAGAAACAAAAGAAATAGCTGTCTTTTACCCAACCTCAGTAGCAATGTCCAGAGAAGACCATACTTTGATCATTCCATGCTTTAAAAAAAAACTGCCTTTTGATTTTTACAGGAGATTAAATTCACCTATATTCTTATCTGTAGGTATAAGTTAATTGCAAACACAAAATATTTTAACCAAGACATCTAATTTAGGGTCTAATGACATGCAATCATTTGAATAGTAGCTGAAAAACATTCTATTTAAGAAGTGGTAATAAAAGGTATTTTAAAAATGTTATAATGTGCTTTTTAAATAAATGCAGGAAACAACTCCAAGCATGAGAGATGCCCCACTCAGATTCTCCTCAGTTTGCCCCCAGCATGAGGCCAACGAACCATGTGCCTGGCTCAAGCCTTGAAACCCACCTTGGAGCAGTAAGACTGCATTCCCTACCCGTCCTGTAATTCTGACATTTTACTCACGTACATTGGCCTCCTCCCAAATTAGCCTAGATTAATAGTATTATTACCATATATATCTTTAAACTATATTCAGATTATTAAAATAAGATACAAGGCTTTGATGCCTTACAGCCTAGCATATCAGCTCTTTCCGTAACTGTGAGGATGTGTGTTTTAAGTCTCTCTGCTAGAGAAATAAAAAATAAATGGTTAAAATATTTCCCAAATTCCAGTTCCAGGCTAATCAATTACTTACGTTAATTTGTCAGAAACCAAATGAAGGCACTATCAACCAAGCAAACACCGCCAGCTGTTAGTTCACTTAGTTATAAGATGTGGCTTGTTTGATGACTAGGCCGAGGGAAAGAAAAGGAAGATGCTAGCCTGGATTTATACAGAGCATATATTGAGATAAAATCTCAAAGTAACTGTGAGCAAAGAACGTTTAATAACTGCAAGCCCAAGGCCCAGGGCCTGCTGGTACAGGACAGTATGGTCTTGGACACGACTCCTCCCTGGGCCTCAGTTTCTGCATCTGTACAGGTGGGCAATGAGTCAGATGACCTCCTGCTCTAACAGTCTATAAAACCCAGGAGCCAAGCCCATGGGTCCAGGTTTTACTTTGTCTGCCTCAGAACTGTCCTGGAGAAAATGCAGGGGTGTAGGAGTGGCCCCTTCCCCCAGAGGGGGATCCTTTGAATCCATATCAGACCCTAGGGCTGGGGGATCCATTCCAGGTTATGGAATGGGGGTGAGGGAAAGGAGGTGTTGCAATGACCTAAGAGAATGAGGACAGAAGAAAGGAAAAATAGGAAGATGGACCCCAAGACTAAATAGACCACACTCCCAGCAGACACCAACACAAAGCTCGTTATGACCCAAACAACACAGAAATTCCAAGCGTGAAGCCAAACCCAACCAGCCCTCACACTGCCAGGAGTAGAAAGCCTGGTCTACTGTATGACAGGCACAGTGCTACTGCCAGAGATAAAAATGGTACAAAAATTTAAATAAACAAAATATCAAAAGAGAACGTGTTCCTCAAGGTGGTCACAGTTCAGGCACCAGGCCACATGTGATCACAAGGTATCGTCCACATACCCGCCCTGCTGGCACTCAGCCTCCATGCCTCAGTGCCCCCATTTGACAAAATGGGGACAACGATCACAGCATTCACCGACAGTTGTCAAAAATCTCAAATGACTCGTCACCTGTGGAGGGCTGAGAACATTGTTTGGCAAATGGTCACACTCAAATGTTAGCCATTATAAATCACCCCATGCTCTGGTAACAAATAGAAATTTCAGGAAAATGTTTTCAGACAGTCGTTCATTTCTTTTTCCATTCTCTGCCAAATTCATTATTGTGTATTGACTATCTACTCTATGCCTGTATCTACACATGGCCCTGGGAACAAAACTAAGAATGGAGACCCAGGGCCTGGTTCAAGGAGCTTATCAGCCAGCAGGGAGTTATCCTGTGATGCGGGGGTGTCCATGGGGAGAGAAACGCCTAGGGCATGAGGGAGCAGGGCCCTGACTTGGCCTGGAGGAGGCTTCTGGAGAGATGGTGGGTGGTGGGGAGGGCATGGAGGAGAGCAGCACCGTCATTTTTGGAGCATAACCCAAAGGTGGGGTGCCACAAGGCAAAGCTGGAGAGGGTAACAGAGCTCAACACAGGAAGAGTCTTGCTGAGATATTGGGACTGCACTTTGCAGGTGGCCAAAAAATCACTTTAAAGTTTTGTGTGGGGTACGATCAGATTTTCATGCTTTACAGAAGTTTTGGCATCTGTATGGAATATAAACTAGAGACAAGAGGGGAGGCGGGGAGAACGAGCTTCCTCAATGTCCAGATGAAAGAGGATGTGGGTGTGAACCAGCAAGCAGTGAAGAACAGACAGAAACAAGGCATCTCTGAGACCCCCTGGGAGACAAGTTTGAGAAAGGGTGACTGAGCCCTGATTCTCTCGAGTGGGGACCCCTGGGAGACAAGTTTGAGAAAGGGTGACTGAGCGGGTCAGGGACCCACCAGCCCTGATTCTCTAGAGTGGGGTCCAGTGTAGGGCAGGTCTAGGTAAAGAAGGCAGGTTCTGGCCTCCACAAACAGCCCGAGCAGATGCCTAGAGGGTGTTACTCACAGCACCACGGGACCTGGGCCTCCTGGGAGTAGGTGAGCAGTGTTGCCTCCAACTGAATGGAGTGTGAGGTCAAAGTTAAGTGAAAGTTAAGCAGGACCTGGAATGTGTTGGAATTAGAGAGAGCATAGACACCGAACTGGGGGCCATCACCACCCAGGTCATGGCTATACCTTTAGAGGAGGTGACCCTGGAAAAGGGGATGAGCAGTGACTCTATGAGGTCGCAGACCACTTCGGAAATCTGATAAAACCATGCAGCTGTCCCAAAGAAAAAGATACCAAAAAATAAAACATTCTGTATACAATGGGAGGTATTCCAGGACCACTTGAATTTGAGGGTGCGGGACTGAACTGTTTATGAGAACAGGCCGGCGGGCCACTGGGGCAACCCAGCCCTATTACCTCAGAGAAGGTCTTTTCTTGTAGCGAGTGATCCTGCTGCTCAGGAGAGAGTCACCATCTTTAAGGGGCGCGTCTACCTGAGGAAGGAAGAGTGGACATGAGCATAAGTTTGAATGAAAGAATTTAAAGGCACCAATGCCACACACTTCTCAAGAGGTGTCAAAAAAAAAAAAAAACAAGCTTACAAAAATGAGTCATACATTTAAGGAGGATATGATCCACAGTTTCAGAAAATCAAATCACAGAGTGAGGGCTACGAAGAGCTTGCAACCACCGGCAATTGGTTAAACACCGTACCTGGCATTTTGCTAGACACAGAGATGCAGAAATTAATTAAATCACCTCTGGAGAACTTACAGCCTAAAGTGCTTGGAGAATAAAGCTCAGAGAAATGCACAAGATGCAAGAACAAAATGAACAGGCCCTTTCTGAGAACCTGTACACTCTCAGTCCTCAGCTTTTCTTATACCAAGCGTATGACTATACCTGCAATGCAGATTACATAATTTGAAATAACTTCGAAAAGGCTGAGCTGTGGCTGCCTTCTGTTATGTCCTGTAGACATTTCGCCATTCATTCTCTGCTTCTCCAGTTTACTTGTAGTACTTTGGAATATCATATAATCATTTCCTTAAGCCTTTGAAAACTCTGAAGGTCGAAGCATAAGCCCTTTTAAAGCCCAATTCATAAAACAGCCTAACTCAACGCCAAACATTTTGTTTAGACTAAATGCACTAAATACCACCTTATTATTCACTTTAGACATTGGAGAAAGGACACAGCATAATATTAAGGTGCCAGAGGCACAGGGGCTTTTCAACATAAATCAAAACACCACAGAATCAAGAGACGACTCTGTGATCCCCCTATTCCTATTCCCTGCACAGCATCACCCCAGTCTCCCGTCGTATGTCCCAGCAATGACTGCAGCTGATGGGAATTACATGGAGAATGTCAGAGAAATTAATAGGTCAGAGGAGGGGGAGGATGGGCAGGAGGAATGAATTTGTTTGCAGAGGAGTTGACACCCCATGTCCCCCTAACCACTTCACTTTCCCTCTTCCTCTTTGCCCCAGAAACTTCTAAAAAATTTTTACACTCATTTCTTCCACTTCCCATACGCCACCGGCTGCCGCCTGTGCTGACCGCTCCTCTTAAATGCACTGGCCAGGCCACCACAAGCAAAGGGCCCTCAGGCTCCATCTTACTGAGCAGCTCCACAGCACCTGGCCCAACCCACCTTCCTCTTCCTTGACTCCCTGGGTTGAAGTCACCCCCGCCCATCCTCCTGCCTTCACCTTCCAACTCACCGTTGCCTTCCAGGCCCTTCTCCTTGCCCATCCGTACATACTGTGCCATTCTGTCTCCGTGGGGCCTCTCTGGCGTTTCTGGGACTGTTATTCAATTCTACCCATCCCATGACCATGACCAGCTCTGAAAGTACTCTTTTCAGAAGCCTCTCCAAGAGTCACCTATGGACGCCCCCTCCCTCCAGAGCCAGGAGCACCAAGTCACAAAGGTTCTGCCTCTGGCAGCACTGAATGGGGGCTCCCCTGTTGCTGGTCTTCCCTCCCTGGGCCAGGGGTAAAAGGTACAGGGCAGTCTCACCTCACCCACACTCTTGTGAGAAGAGTCCCATTTTACATATCTTGAATGTGGTAAGAGCTCAATAAATAGAAAAAGAAAGAAAGAAGAAAAGAAGGGAGGGAGGGAGGAATAAGGTAGGAAGGGAGGGCGGAGCCCACCAACCCCCATCTTTGCATGAGACTACATAGGGACAAAAACCTGGCCTAGAATCAAGGGGGCCAAGGACGGAATATGGGTCCTAAGTGTAAGTCAAAGAGCGGAAGTGCAAGGGGAACCATTTTGGGGATCTGGAGATGGCCAGGAATCATACCAGAGAAAGCAAAAAACTAAAGGAGGCAGACAAAGGGCCTGGGGCCAGAGGCCAGGAGTCTCTGAAGGAGAGAGCAGGGGGAACAGGACTGGAGGCAGAAGCTACTAATGTCAGAGAAATACCGTGTATGTAAAACATCCCTTCTTCAGAAGCAACTCAATGAAGTCCACAGTGACTTTTGAAACGGATTTATAGTAAAATTCAAAATATGCTTTTAGAAAATATCGACAATCATAAAAAGTCACAGATTTATACCACTGTGGTTTTTTTCAGATGAATTTTCCACATAAAATAAAAGGATTAAGGAAGGGGAAAGAATTAAAGCCCCAAAAAAGTAACCAGTTCTAACACACTGCTCCCCTCTCCTGCCTGATGTGCAGCGATGCCTATGTGACCCATGGAATTTTCAGACTCCTAACACCCTCAGAGCAGCTTCCAGCTGATGGGCAGAGGCCAGGAGCTACACCAAGGCAAGGGTCCCCAATCCCTCATCTGTGGCCTGTTTGGAACCAGGCTGCACAGCAGGAGGTAAGCGGCAGGCAAGTGAGTTAAGCTTCATCTGTATTTGCAGCAGCTCCCCAGCACTAGCATTGGCTCCACCTCAGATCTTCAGGAAGGATTATCATAGGAGCACTGGTCCCTGCTGCCAAAAAGGATCCCTGCAGCAAGGTACTGAGCCCAACCCACCCAACCTGTGGCAGTCAGTGGGGGGGCAGGTGTGAAAACAGGACGTATGGCTTTCTATGACAATCACACGAAAAAGCTGGCCATGATGAACTAACTACCCAAGTGTAGCTCCCACTGCTTTTTTGGCAATTATGACATATTTAGGAATATCAGTATATAACAACATAACTATGTGGCACATAGAACTTATATATAAAACTACTTGTTTATTAAAGATAAAATGAAAACGCACATTTGAGGCATGAAGCAACTTCCTACCAGACCGAGAATGAGAAATTTCAATGTGAACTAAATTACAAAAGCAGAGATTAAGTATAAGAATTAACAAGGAACATACTGGCTCCCAACAGAAGCTTCCTTCAGGAAGGACTGACTTAATCTATAGCGCCACCCTCTCACTCTGCAAGAAATTCCATACCCATGGCAGACACAAGAAAAGTGATAGCAGGGGGACTGAGGGGTTGTCACAAGAACCTAGGCAGTTTCAAGACCCAGGACCCCAGTGCAGGGGGAGGGGCATTTGTTCCTACTCGTGGCCACGTAGTATCTATTAATAAATGCCTTTTTATTCTTGAGGAATTTCCTTCTTGTTCCTGAGGAATTCCCCCACATTGTGGATCTTGCCTTCCAGGACAGAAGCCAGGCGCTGGACAGAGGTGGCACGCATCAGACACGCCCCAGACATCATGAGGATGCACTCGCGCTGTGGCTCCACTTCTGGGGAGAGTGGCAGCAGAGGCACCCGGTGCTGGGGGCAGCATCTGAGCACAGGATGCACCGTCAACACAGCATATACACAGAGCAGCCCTTGGTGTGTCTTACACTGTTTTTACCTACATTAAACCCCAAACCTGACTCCCCAGCCAGCCCCCAGCTCCATCCCATATTTTGAGGGGTTCTGAGCATGCACTCGAGTAGACACTCCAATCCACATGTCCACGTCCATCCCCCCTATACAGCATCGGCCATGGCAAGGCATGTGGCTGGCTGAGAAGCAGAGCAGAACCCTCCAGGGTCTGGGTTTAAGGGAAGTTCTGCGGGAAACTCTACAGAAACCCAGAAAAAGAGAAAAGATGTCATGAGGTGAATCCTTGTTCTTCCAGGGACCGGAAGTAGCAGGGCCTCACTTCTGCAATTGAAAAGGAAATCCTGATGGTACTTTCCATGGTCCACTTGTGACAACTGAGGGCCTCATAAATACGTTCGCAGCATCGTTTACTACAGCTTCCCCTCCTGAACGTGAATCAACATGAGTGTATATGCATATTTGGCATGATGAAGAAATATGAAGAGAAGTAGGCTCCAACCAATTGACTATAGCTGAGAAATGACTGTGGATGAGTGCCTGGAAAAAGCAAGGACTAAAGCAGGTTCTTTAGCTCCTGAAATATCACAACTTCCATGTTCTATTGAGAACCAGTGGAAACATGTATGGGGAATGGGTTATGCTATTAAAATAAAATCTATAATTATGACCTCCTATTACAAGGATTCAAACAGCTATTAAATAATTTCCCACTTTGTCAAGACCAAAAATATCAGTTTTGAAGATGAAGTATAAAGGAACTTACTTATAAAGCCACAGAACCACACAGTTGTGGAAAATACTTGGGAATTCTGTATTCGCGCAAGTCCTTGTTCCACAAACCCCCAAGGAGATGCTGTAAACAGTTGAGAAACTCAAAATTCATCTTCCTAGGGTATTGATTTTACCAAAATATTTTCTGGGAGGAGTTATTATTTTCAAATTAGAGAAAATATGGCTATACTATGAAGCGGAAAGGAAAACCCCCAACAGTTGAAACGTGAGGCATCAATAACTCTTAAGGTGAGCCACTTTGGCATACTGGGTTGAGCATTTACTTTCCATTTCCCAAGAGGACTCTTTTGGTGGGAAAATCTGAGAGGCACCGAGCCCCGTGAACACCCAGAGTCACAATCATGCAAAATGGAAGCCCTCACCCCTATGGGGACAGACAGAGCAACCTAATTACTCAGGAGATCCCCCCAGGATGGTTCCCCACTCAAGACATGGAAGGAAAACATGGAAGTGACCCCAGAGGGGTCTCTAAATGTGACACAGCCATTTTTGTCCTGCAGAGATGAGCGACACACACTCCACCCCACACAGACATCCTAAAACTCACCTGTGCATTCAGCATGGCTCTCACAGATTTTCCCCTGAGAAAAAGTTTTATTTACACAACTATGACCAAACAAAACCGCCCCACGACAGAGGCAACGGAAACACTCAACATCTCAAAAAGTCCAAGAAACACTGACAGTTTGGCCATCCTCCTATCGGTGGGTGGATACAAAAGCCTAGCTCGCAATAGTTTTACGTGGCTTCTTTACCTGTACAAATGAGGCAAGGAACATTTTTTAATCATCAAAGGATCTCATGTTCAGGATATAAAGATAAGGCAAAGAAAGAGAGCAACAGAGATTTTAGGTGGTGCTGTTCAGCTATTACAAGGCATGAAGCTGCCAGAT